ACAAAAAGATATTCTGAACTTTTTTTGCTCAAGATTCGATGATAGCAAATTGTGAATCATTAGGCAAGTAACTGTGTCCACTTTCTAGAAATTTGGTTTCAATTGATTCAGCTTGTATTTCTGTACTTTGAAGCAATTTCAATAAACTTAAAACAGTTTTAATATTTCTATTTTGTCCCGTACATGAGTCTGAGTAGGTTATTATATTTTTACAGTTTTTAGCACAAATCTTTATATACTTTACTAAACATGAAGAAATTTCCTGAGACCAGCGAGATCCCTCAGTTTCTGGCCAAACGAACATGTGACTTATATTTTTATTAAAATCATGGCATCCGAAATGATAAACATACAGGTTTTGTTTATAGTGAGCTATCGACATAGTCAATTTTGGAAAAGGTAAAGCTTTTTCCAAGTCAAAAGAAAATATAAAAATGTCTTCAGATGCTGCCATCCGATCTGTAGCCATATGACTACGAGCCTGTTCAGCCTTTTGCAAGTGAGTGTCCTTTTTGATTTTTGCCATTCTCATTTCTTAACTGTCTGAAGACTCAATTTTTATTTGTAGATAATCACAAGTTTTGCATGTATCTTTAGATAGTTGCTTAAAAATGCAAATTAAATTTAGTCGAGAATACCTTGTAATAATATTTTTCTTTTACTGGTTCTATATTTTCTTCTGTACATTGCGCGATGTGGAGTTCGTTCATTTTCTTAATATTTAAGTTCGGATTTAAGTATTTTCTCCTTGGGCTATAAGCTCTTCGTAGTGGCTTGTGTATGCGGGAAACGAGTTTATATGTTTTATAGCATATGTTTCATCAATTTTGTTACCTGGAACATGGCGAACACAATGATCAATCAACAATGAAACTTGTTCCTTACAGCAGCAGTCGTATAGTCGCCCATTGCTTATCTGATAGGTATCCTTAAAATATTTTTTGCAAATCGAAATACCATCTTTTCGGAGTCTTCGAAAATAATACGTGAAAGAACATGATCTCGGAATTTTACTGTTATCCTTCGGACGCCTTCCTTTTATTTCTTTGACTTTAATGCACCCTCTTAAAAAAATATTTTGCTCAACTTGACTCTCTAACTGATAAAACGCCTCCATGGCAGTTTTCTTTCATCCGAAATGATTTTTTCATTGCACTTCTGACGACATCGACATGGCAGATTTGCAAATGTTTTTTCAGATATTAAACGTCCACTTCTATTTTTGTATCCTAAACCTTTTATTCTGTTATGCTTTTGGACATTTCGGTCCCATTTACTAGAATTATGGCTTCTTTTTCATCTAGTCGAATTATTTTCTGCGATTTTTTCATCGCTGTGATCAGATGACGAATCCGAATAAATACAAAATCGTTTTCTTGAGCCGAGCTTTTTGCCAATAATTTGTATTGAAGAACCATCCGGTTGATTATTTTCCTTTCTCAAATAATTCTTAATAACATCTTCCATCTTAATGTTATAACAATTTATTAAAAAAAAAAAAAAAAAAAAAAAAAAAGAATTCACAATAAAATTGAAATTTATAAGTATCTTCACTTCACTTCACTTGTGGCAGTTCGAATACGAACTAATTTATATTTTATTTGTCTCGTGCTTAGTTCGTGTGAGCGATAACAGCTCTCGTCTAACGGGAATAATGAAATTAAACGAACAACTTACAGATGTCTCCGTCTCCGTAGAAGAGGAAAAATAGTGCAGCGGGTTAAATAGACTTTTTATTATGATATAAATACATTATAGTATGGAGTTAATCAGATTGGCTGCCGACATAAATTATTTATTATTCAATGGCTAAAACGATTTTGTCATTTAGTGGTGTTAATACTTATTATTTGAGAAATTTGTTTTGAATATGTACAGTTAGGAGCTAATGAAGTGCTTTGATATTAAAATTTAATAAAATTCCAAAAATGGAGTTAATCGATTTGGCAAGTGAATCATGCATACATAAGCACATGGCAGTTAAGGGGTTAAGGAATGTTCTCTAAACTTAAAAAATGATGTAATAGTAATAGTTTCTACATTTCTCCCATATCCAACAGCAATGTTGAATATGAGAAAATGTTTTCAAAAATAAAAATCTCTTTGCAGAAATATAAAAAATAAACTCAACACTGAAATAGTGAAAGTAGAGCTTCAAATCTGCACAAATTACAGATAGAATGACGATGACAGTGAATTGGAAAACATGCTTGTGTATAACAATGTAATAGAAGTTTTAAACGACATAGTTCTAATTGAAGCAGCTTAAAATGACAAACAGGTAGCAGTAAACCAGTTTTCTTTTTTATGAGTAACAAGAAAGTATCAATTTTTCTTTACAGTATCACTATTATTTTTTAAAAAAAGAGTGAATCTCCAGTTTATGTTAATTTGGTGAACCCCCGACTGCAATCCACGTTTTTGTTTCAAAATCAATTTACGTCAATTCTCCCTCTGTTTTCAGTTTTAGTCCAATTATGTTTCTGCTATAATGTTTCCATTTTCTTACAGTTTCAATGGAATAAAAATATTTTATTTTTTTAAATAAATGGAAAATATGGGCTAAAATGTTTCAAAATGCCAGTCAGCTGAAATCACAAAATTTTTTTCATGAAATAGCAGAACAAATAACAACTTCTTTACAAGAGGATGCTATTTTATTCCTGTTTTGATTCTGAGCTGAATTATGTTTGATACAATTTTTCCTATTTGAGCTCAAAGAAAATGATCTTTGAAGTAAGGACGAATAATACAGCAAAAATGTTTCAACATGCCCAATTAGCTGAAATCGTGATTAAAATCTTCACTGAAATAGCAATAAAAATATGAGCAGAAGGTTGTTTTCTCCAGAATGAATTTATATATGTAATGTTTTAAACTTAACAAAAATTAGAAAAATTTTGAACAAGAATGTGATGAAATTATGCTGAATCTTAGAAATGAGAGAAAAGACCATATACGAAAATGAGCAATTCTTAAAAAATACATATATTTTATATGCATATTTATTGTTCATATTTTAAAGGATGAAATATGTATGTACATATAAAGTAATTAAACTGTAAAGGAAATTTAAAATAAAAAAAAGTTCTACATTGTTTTCTAGATTAGGACTATGAAATCCTATATAATTTTTTTTAATTATGAAATCCATTATGCAAACATAAAAATAAATAAAATTTATATTATGTATGAAATTGTTATTAAATTAATAAAAAAAGGGTTGGAAAACTCTTTGCTCCTTACCATGAAATTTTTAGTGCTACACCCATCATTGTCCCATGTAAAAACTACCATCCTTTTTGAAAAATAATTATATCAAGTAGCTACTTATTTAGCAGTAATAAATATCTTTCTATTAACATTTGTTTTATTTTTCCCTTTCAATTTTAGCAATATTTAGGTTTGTTTTAACTGCACATACTTTCTTAACTTTAACTACACCTAATCACCCCCTTTTTCTTTTAGAAAGTTAACTTTGCAGAACACAATTTGGTAATATGTACAATATATTAGGAATATATGCACAATATATATGCATAGCAGTAGTTCTCAACCAGGAAGAAATTGCATAGTTTCAGAGGCAGGGGAACTACCTTTGCTCAAGTTTGGCATTTACCAGCATTCTTTATATTTTTTATTATTTAACTTCTAAAACACATAAAAAATTTTTTTTATCTAAATCAATGTACATCTTTATTTTTAAAATTTTGGAAAGGGGGGAAGATTATGTTCTAGCTATGGTGAAAAAGGTACATGGGGACAGTAGAGAACCACTGATGTTTACTGTAAAATAAATTTAGGTAATTGCTGAATTCTTTTGTGGTGCATGGGCAAAATGTCTTTTTTTATTTTAAAAATTTGGTAACCCTACCTACAAGACAAATATAAGACAGAGCAGACTTACAGAGAAAGAAATAAAATTCATTATCAAATGGAATTTGATACAATTTAGACTTAATTTTACAGTCGAAGAAAAATACTAATTTCTAAATACTGACATCTTTCAATAAAAAATAACAAAATCCAGTCTTCTGCAAAACATATGTAGCAAGAAAGTGAGGAATAAATATAAACATACACAAGTTCATCTCATTCAACTTAAAACCTTGTCACCTTTTGCTCATTCGCAGACAAATTTATGTTTTTGATCACATAACAGATTATTAACCTGATAATAATCAACTAATAGCTTTAATGGGCAACCCAAAAAATTAAACAATAAGGAATATTAAATGGTACTCTTCTGTTATAACGACCAGATTCAGAAATGTATTCATGTGTGTGTATAAAGATATGTGCACATATACATACATGTGTGTATATATACATACGTTTCTGAATCTGGTCCCGACAACAGAAGAATACTAAACTATGGGATTATGTAATAGTTTTTCATTCAATATGCATTTCATTGTCCTGTTAATAACATTTAGCAATAATTTAATTTCAATACGGCTTCTTGCAGACACAGAAAATCTTTTGCTCTGTATCTTTAAGAAAATACGTAGATTAACTGAATACACAACTTCTCTGTAGTAAGAAATACATCAAAAGAAAAAAATTAATCGTCTATTACTCAGTAATTTATCTTGTTTCATTAACCTTTAAATAGTAACAATCTTTTAATATTTAAATGCGTGTTTAGTTTTTATTGCATTACAAATTTCAGAATTAATAATTCATTAAAGTTACCAAAACTAATACAGGTAATTAATACATTAAATAAGATTTAATCAGATAATTATATGATAACAATTCGATGTTATTTTAGAAATACAGTGCTCTGGGGGGCTGGACCCCTTCTGAGATTTTTTTTATCCGCCTAGTTTTACATTAAGGTTACAACAATCAACTTCGTTTAAACAAATAGGAATTTTGAAAATACACTATTTAAATGGAAAATATAAATAATTAACAGCTAAATTTCGTTCAGTATATGAAACTAAATCTTACACTTAAAGGAAAAGGAATATTTAAGCTTATAGACATATGCATACCTCCGACTAGAGTTACTTTTCCTAGACCGCACTTCCTTGACTGTTGATGAGTTACTAGATCGCTTGTGTGAACAAGCGCTCCTCAAAATCATAGAGCATGACGATTGTGGAGAAATATTTGCGTCTTCGACGCAGCACTGATTTTTCATTTTAAAGTAAACATTTAGCGTTTAGTAAGAGGTTTGAAACTAAAATAAAAGGCAAACGTAAAAATCCGTCGACACTCCTATGAAGCTGACTCCCACACACCTTTATTAGTCTAAAAATATCGGTGAGAAAGCAGTATGTCAAATTTAAACGTAAAAAAAAAATAAATAAATAAACCAGATCATAGAAAGGGAAATAAGGAAGTTACAGTTAAAATATGCTTGGAAATTAGGTTAAATGAAATTGAGATTGAGATTTTTCAAATTTTGTTAAAAATTAAAAATTGTTTTCATAATATCATTTGACGCAAATTTAACTTAAAAGTGCAGTAATATTCTTAGACAAACGAGGAAACAGATTGATATTTAACTGCAATATAAAAGAAATATGCGTTCACTCGTACGCACACAGACGACAACGAAGCTTAGAACCAAGGAGGTTAGACCTCCTTGCTTAGAACCTAGCAGAACAGATGCATCCAGTTTTGCAGATGTTGACAATATTAAGTGCTTAACAAGCAAACACAAACACGGTAAGAAAAAAGTAAATTCCTTGGTTTATTTCTCAAAGAATATCACAACATTTTGGAATTCAAAGGTAAATGGACTTCTGTACTTCTATTTTAATATTTTTGCTACAAATACATTCGACTATATATAAATATATACTTTCTTTTCTTCTTCTATTTAACCTCCGGTCCTATTAAATATTCCGAGGTTTTAGTCCTGCAGATTTAAAGCCTATTCTTATTGCTCATTATTGATATCATTAACATACAGTGTCCCAAGTTTTTGCAATTAAAACTTCATGCAGCAGACAGCAAAGAAGAGAGAACTGATTTCAGTGGCAATCTATGACGTCTATCTAGTTTTCGCAACATCTACGATGTTTTCAACACAGTTCTGATTCAAGCAGTCAAATGCTACTGTGAATCCATCAGCGAAGGAAATGCTTTAATTACAGATATCTGACTACATTCTAAAACTCATTCTTTAGAAGTCGTTCAGACACTTCCATTTCCACATCTACTCCCAAATGTTTTGGATTCTTCAAGAACAGAACTCTCAAACCTAGCCTACTTCAGACTTACTTTAACGAGCAACAAAACTGTTGTAATAATGTAGACAAACACGGCAGCATATGCCCCACATTTCAATTTTGTCATGAACGTTGTGTCGCCATATTTCCATTTTTGCTGTTCTGATCTGGCACCGATACAAAGCGGTCAGTTTACTGGGCTGTTTAACAAATAGACTGCTGATCCCATACATGTTGGATTTGGTCTGTGCCAATTTTGACGGAAAACCACCCAAGGGGCATTTTACATATCAATTTACAGATTATTTTACCACTTTATTCTTGATTCTCTATTACTTCTTGAATTATTGGATTCCTACCATTTGCAGACTTTGTATTCCGTTTTAATCAATGATTTGGCCAGAAATTACAATAAAAACAAATAAAACATAAGAGAAAAAATAAACGTTGAATTTTATCATCATAGCAATACATTTTCTTGAATTTACTCATGGATAAGAAAATAATTTTTCTTCTTCAAATATCACCGACTATTTTTAAACAGAGATACAAAATGTGTCACTTCTTGGTCCATATTTCTCAGCTCTAAACTTTAAGTAGTTTAATTTTAAAATCAGATTTTTTTTTATTTAGACAGATTTCCAACAACTTAATTGAAAAAAAAAATTATATTATATCATGCTTTCAGAATCTAGTTTGCATAGTTTAGATACAACTCATATGAAATAATAAGAAATTAATGACGCCACCTATAGCATGGAAGATTTTAATTACTCAATATTTTATTTTTATTGGAAACCTTTCGTAACAATGAATTCCGACTGGACTTAACATTAGTAGACATTATGGAATTAACATACACCCAAACATTGTATTCATCCTCTAGAAAAACATCGCATCGTTAACATTCAACTTATTACATACAAGTGCAATAAAAATGCAAACCTTACTATAACACATGACCCACTTCATTAGTAAAGATAGATTTTTAATGTTGAAATTGTAATCCACTGTTGAAAAGGAAAATGAAAAATAGTATAGGGATGCGGTCTTGAACGCAAACGGAGATAAACGTGTTCTTCAGCAAAGGAGGAATAATGTCACTGAAAAGCGTATCAAATCACGAGCATGGATTTTCCCATGCATTCGCTGCGCGGCTCGGTTTGCTAAGATGTGTACGGGAAAACGAAATTGGGAAAACTCACTTCCATGACTAGATTTTTTTTTTTTTTTTTTTTTTTTTGTGACATTATTCTTTCTTTGCTAGTGAAAGGCTTGAAGTAGCTGGGGTTCGAAAGAGCACCTGCATATTGTTTATTTATATTTTGCTTTCAACATTAGATCATAATTTCAGCAATTAAAAAAAACTATTATTACAAATAAAGTGCGTCTTTTGTATTATTATAAGATTATATTTCTCACAGAACTGACATGTAGTGATAAGCAAGAGGATTATAATGGTTGTTTTTATGGTAGTTCTCTTATAGCTATGATAATGATGAGTTTTTTCATCATTATCATAGATAGTGATATTCATAGTGGCAAAAAGCTTCTTGAGGAATTAAAATCTTTAATATTAAAAGATTATTAATTATTCTTTTATTATTTTATTTGATTTACATATCTGTAGCTATGCAAATGCAACTCCGAAAGCATGAAAATTTTGCAAATAATAAAATCCGAATTTAAAATTAAACTACTGAAAATTTGGAACAAGATGATATGCATTGAATGAATGTTTTTTCTTTTACTTTTCTTTTCTCTTTCTCCCCTCTTAATTCCTTTCCCTAATGCATGCAATATTTTGTTTGTATATTTACATAAAAAAGCCAATGTTTACTAAGAAAGAAAAGTTATTTTTGTATTGGTACATTAAATTAAACAAAATGTATTACTAGGATGGTAAACTATACACCTTTTTCCTACTTATAGCAAAATATTGGGATAACAGCCAAAGAAAGCATCAAATTTTATGAATCGAAAATCATTCAAAATATAAATTTATTCTTATGTAAAGAGAAAGGAAAATTCTTATATATTGTGCAGCAGCTTATGGAAAATTAAAATGAGTTGTTGATATTTAATAAAAATTCGATTTGGTTGGCAGAGACTCAGTAGTACTCAGAGACTAATATAAACACTGATGATTTGATGCCTGAGAGTGAGATATTTTCTTTTCAATGCTATTCCGTCAGCTTACATTTTTCTTCTATCTACGGTATTCTGTTGTAATGAAAAACAATATATTTAATAGTAAATTGTTCTTACTTTATGAAATTTAAGAGTTATTGTTTTATTCTTTCGAGACGATGAAAGCTTAAAAAAAAAAAAAAAAAAAAACAACTATTTCAAATGTTAATGCTATTTGTTAATTTTAAGTTAGAAATACAGAAATTTTGGAATGTTATTCTTTTACGGAATTTGAGCTAATTCCTCTCCAAGCAAAAATCATATTACTATTTCTGTAATAAAACTGGTGTTTCTCTTTATCTAATCTGGTAAAATGTGATATGGCAAGAAAAATGCTATAATTAAACGGTTTTATTGAACATAATTTCTCGAGTTTTTTTTGTTTGGGTCAAATTTTGAAATTAATTTTTGATCCCCTTCTTTCGTTCGGACTTTCCAAACATATTTCATCTTTATTTTTAAGGTTAACACAATATCCAACAGGAATTTTTTTAATTAAATTTATTAAATGATTTTTTTATTTAATTTTTAATTTGAAAATTTATTGATTTAATTTGTTGAGAGATTAGGTAGTTATCAAAATATTAAAAAATCAGCTATGCTTTTTCCAAGATTTAGCACTCCGGACCTTCCTATATTAGTCGGATGTGCTTCCAATTACACTATAAAGTCCTTCGGCGAGGAAGGAACAAATTCCTTGTATTCTTATCTACTTAAAGGGCGAATAGGAGGAGGAATCAGTAACCTAATCCAGGTTATGCCGAAATACTGATCATTTCATTTTAGTTGAGCGTCTACGTATTTATGGAAGCAGTTAACGCGAAAAATCAGCCATGGCCTGGTTGGGGATCAGCGATCAGCAAATTCTTCCAATTCCCACGGAAACAGACTGTGAGAAAGGAGGAAATTTCTAATAAGTTATTTACTTGCCATTGACTTATTCTCTCATATCCCTCGGTGTTAGGGGACCAAATCGCAAAATTCTGGTGGTGACGAATTATCAGCCACAACCTTTTTTATAGTTCTGGCACCACTGTATAGTCATTATGATTTTTGATGGAGGAAACGTGAAAAATGTGCAATGCCCTCGCTTGGTCTCGAACCATGGGCCTTTCGCATACGCTTCGAATGTTTCCAATTACACCATGAAAGTATGCGGAAAGGAGGAAGAAAATACCTTAGAAGTTTCTGAACAATTTTGATGTACAGAATTGTTTCGATATCTCGCCAAATTAGCGAGATAGCTATTTATACTCAATGTTAAATAGACTTGACCCTGTATTTCTATTTTTCCGGCAGAACATCGTCGGTTCAGATTTTCATGTTACGAGAAAAATACAATTGCACACATAATTTCACTAAAATTGCCCGTATATGAACAAAATGCGTAACAATATATTTCCGAGTTCGTGGAGATAAACTGTGATTTTTGAGCAAACGCAGGTTGGTGTTCACGTTTTATGCGCAGGAATGGTTTGTCACTACGTCCTAAGTTGCAGAACGTTTGATCGCAGACTTTAACGACGAAATTTTGAAATTTCTCAGATGCATTATTCATAAACGACAAGCTAGTAAGTGCAATCGGTAACGCAAATCAAACACCCATTTGCAGGAACATGCTTACGTTTAGCACAGTTTCACCGTGAAGCTCGCGCACAGTTGGAATCAATTAAGACTACAGGTGGTGAGAAGCAGCGATGTGCAGTTATTCTGGCTGTTCTGGTAGTTGGATGAATACTGCCACCGAACATTGTGTTAAAGCGACAAAATGCACCCTACAGCCCCCTGATGTTCTGTTAATCGTTCCTTTTAAAAGTTCATGCCGGAGACTTTTTAATGAAAGAGTACAGGAAATCCTGAACTCGCACCAAAATGAAACATTAAATGTCCAAGTAGTGTAGGGTGTGTGTGTGTGAATGGTTTGTAGAAGCCTG